AGTCATCGGACCTCCGGGCAGAGATACTATCTCGTCATCCGATGGAGCTTCATCGGTCTCCACCAGTTCTGCACCGCCCATTGCCGGAGATAGCTCTTTAGTCACCGGAGAGTTAACCGGAAGATCCGTTGGAAGAATGTTTTGGGAAGAACTGCCTGCCATTGTTGATTCGATAACGAGAAAGAAACAAAGTTTGAGGGACAAAGACGGAAGTTATGTCAATCGAAGAACAAAGATGAAGGTGAATTAGCAGGAAGAGAAACTTCTTCAGAATCTCTCTCAGATAAACAATGAGAATATAAAAAATGAATGCCTCAGCCTTTATTTATAGGCAACACAAGTGGATTTCATGAACCCCAATGGCCACCATTAACTACATAACCAACCGCACACCGGTTCGATTCTACAGAAACGCGCGTCATTATGACAGGCTCCATGAAGCAGCTTTTCAGTCACCAACCGGCGTCTCGCCCTCGAAATGGTTGTAACGACCTGCGAACGCTGAGGAGATGTTCAGTGCGCCCTCAAAATTTTGGACGTCGCCAAACACGTATCAAGCGTGCCCTTACTCCCCTCGGCCGCACAACACATGACCCGTCTACCATGGTCGACGGGTATGTTCCCAGAACAAACGTAAGGGTCAGAGCACGACAGAGCTCGACCTCACTCGAATTAAGTTAAAAGGGTCAAGTGCCTTCGTCAAGGAGGAGAGTCTAACCTCGATCGAACGACGACTTGATAACACAATAGCAAAACACTGACACTCTACAAGGCTAAGGGCCATCACCAAAGAGAATTCGGCCTCGACCGAAGCGACAGTCGACCTCCCTATCCGAGTTTCTCAAACTACAGTCGATGAAATCCACTCATCGAGCTCGGCCAAGGCACGATCTCAATAAGCGGAAGGACTAACTGTATGGGTCAGAATCCGACCTCACGATAATTAACGAAGTTAATCCCGTCTTAAGCTAATTCATGATTGATTAGTGGTACAACCCCTCAGAATTAACAGTATCCAACCCTTATCTGATTCGATCAACAAGGCTACGGCCCGTCCGTCATCATAAAAGCGAAACCCCAACGTGGTCACGGCCACTTATTGCCAGCTCACGAAGCCCACAACTATAAATACCAAGAGAGGGAACCTCTTCAGGGGGCTTCTTCTTCTTGACTATTCAAGAGAGAGAGAAAGATATAACGAGACACATATTATGGGAAAGTGGAACATCATTGTAAGGCTCTGAACCTCTTCATGGAGAGGTAGGCCAAATCAACACTATCAATAAAGGCTTTTAATGTTTCTCCTCCTAACTCTGAGTACTTATTTTCGTTTCCTTCATTTGGTCCAATGGATTATTACGATTTGCTATGATTTTCCCGTGATTTATTTATATTGTTTACACTCATAAGGTATATGATAACTTTTGAGCAAACACTTTTCAATCCTATCAAACCAAAAATAATTTACTTGATTGCTTCACGTATTCTTACCACCTCCAGTAGGTGCAGTGGAAGTACCAAAACTTAACAAATAAGTAGGGGTGGGCATATATCGGGTAAAACCGATAACCCGAACCATTAATTATTTATTGGGTTATTGGGTTAACGGTTCGGTAACGGGTTAAATTTTTTTTTTATTGGGTTATCGGTTCGGGCTCGGTTTGCAATTCTGTTATTGGGTAAAAACGATAACCCAATAAGAATTAACTAATTTACTAGTTTACCCTTAAGTATATACATACTATACTAGGGTTTCATAATTGGTTTTTCCTATTCTTTCTCAATTCTCAGTAAGTCAGTTTCTCTTTCTCAGTTTCTCAATTTTTCTGCCGCACCTCTACGGCCCGATCTCACCAGTTCTCCGCCTCACCACGGCTCACGCCCTCATCAGTTCTCCGCCTCACGACTCACGCCCTCACCAGTCACCAGTCATCTCATCAAGACTCAAGCCGGTGTCACTCGTCAGTCGCATCACGCCCTCACCAGTCAGCCCGTCAAGACTCAGGCCGGCGTGTAAGGTTTTAGTTGCTTCATCTTCATCTTTTTCTTAGTTTGCTTGAAAGCATTCTGGCTCTGGATTCTTTTTTGGGGGGTTGTGTTGTGTGTGTGCGCGCTGCTATTGTTTGAGATCTTGTTCTAATCGTTTGTCTAGTCTTTAAACGTTTTTGGAGATTCTGTTTTATGAGAAATGAAATGGGCTTTGACAAGAATGTATAAATTTGGTGTTGTTGCATTATCCACTTATAATTTTAACAAGTGTTTCTCTTTTTGGAATATTAAGAATCCTAAGCAGTAAACTTCTGTTTAACTTAAGGATACAAGACCACGTTTTATTAACAATACAATCATATTCCATTCCATCTTTGTAATCCTATATTTATGCATCAGAAAGTTGTCAAAGACAACGAAAATCTGATCTATTTTTTCACTTCTGGCTCAAGATAATTGAGAACTCGACAGTTTTATATATTGCGAAATCATTTTAGTTGTTTTATCTTATTGGGTAAACCGATAACCGAACCGATAATGATCGATAACCGATTAACCGATAACCAATAACCAATATCTTGTAGGTTTGGTTATCGGGTTATGATATTTGTAAACCGATAACCGATAGGCAAAACCGATAATATTCAAAACCGAACCGAACCGGACCGAACCGACCGATGCCCACCCCTACAAACAAGAGATAGTTTAACGAGTAGAATCTGCTATTAAATTGGGTTTAACACATCTGCAGGTTTGCTTGCATGTAAAAAAAAAAGTCAGTTCGCACATATTTCGGCAGGTGTTCTTGGTCTGTTTTGAAATTAGAGCTACATCGAATGAAAATTGGAGCAGTTATAGAACAAGAGCAAGAAATCCCATTCTTTGACCAACATCAGCATACATTTGAAGCACGTCGAAGCAAATTTTGGACCCTCGTTAAATTTGGTAAATTGGTCATGTGCAATATAGATTGAATTAGGCCGATAAACCGCCCGATAACCTCCCGATAAGAGCTAAACCGATACCAATCCGCCCGATATCTTATCGAGTGGCTAGCTGATTAATACATCTAAAAGCCAAATAACCGATAACCCAAATCGTTAAGAGTAAATAACTGCACAATCTGCCCGATAAGCAGCCCTACTAGCTAGTACACACGCTACGGTAGCAAATGAGCGGTTCATGTCAAATATGGGTGGGCTAAAAATAATAATGTAAAAATGGATAAAATAAAATATTCGGCTCACTCATATTTAATATAGATAGAAAAATGGATAATATATGAATAATATGAATATTCATATAATCCATGACTTCTTGAATGTGATCGCTTTTGAGAGAATTTTCGGTCTTCTAAATTTGAGGAACTCCCTGTTTGAATCTTTGAAATTATAAAAATTGAACACATTAGATATCCAATTAAATATCCATTTTTAAGTGGACAATATAAATCTTATCCGTATTCGACCAACTTCTGAAAAATACATTTCAACCCATATTTTAATGGATAATATGGATAGATAACTATTTTTAAGGGAAATTACCAGCTATGTCCATTTACAAGTAGCTCATTGCAAAAATTGGCCAATTGATAAAATATTACTAATATTAGCCAATTTAGCCAATTAGCTATTTGTAGCAAAAAAATATCAAATTTTGCTTTGTTTTGAGTGGGTGTTATTAGAATAGATTGGGCACAACTTAAGGAGCTTGAATCTCAGTTTTGGGATGATTTGGTGAAGTTTTGAGGTGTTTTGAATTGAAAATTCGAAGTAAAAGCTGAACATGAAAAAAATGAGATGTGTATCACACTATGTATCATTTGTGTATCACACATGTATCATATTTGTATCAATTATGTATCACATGTATATCCATGTATATCTGTGTGTGAGATACATGCGTGATACATGTTTGATACATGTGTCGCACAAGACTTTTTTGAACTCGATTTAATTACGAATTTTGATACAAAACCAGTCCAAATCACCTCCAATCTTCCTCAAATTTTGTATATTGGCTTATCTATATATTTTCAGTGAATTTCAACTATACCCAAAGTTCATTTTTTGTTTAGATTTTTGGAATATTGTATAGATTTTTGTATTTCATCACCTTATTTGCTACCCCGTCCATGAAATTTCCTTTCCGTCTTATATCTAATGTTGCTAATCACGCTTAAAAATATGGAAGGTGATTTTTGCATGTGATTCTTTGAGAGAAAAAACCCTATTATTTGGTTTTTCAATTTTTGTTGGCTAATTTTGGTAACTCTATGACTAATGACTAGAGGTTGGTAAGTTAGAAATTTATTTGGGACATTTGTGTAAGTTTCCCTATTTTTAATCCATTTTGACACCACTCACACACACAAACACTAGAGTTGCACGTAAGATGCACATCGAATAGACGAATACTACCATGGACAGAAACAGGGAAAAATTGAGATTAACTTTTCTATTTCTTTTTTCCAAATTTCCCTTTTTTTTTGGTGTGTGTGCGTGTGTGTGTGTGTGTGCGGGGGGGGGGGGGGGGGTTGAACATTGTAATATGACGAATCACATGCATACATCGAGGTTTAATTATCAGCAAATAATGAAGTATACGGTAGGAGCAACACAGGAAAGAGAACTATCCTGAAGCACCGGAAAGTTGGGGGAATGAGTATGTAAATTGGGAGTTAGAACCAATCTCACCGTCTGTAGTGTTTATAGAGATTAAGCACCTCGTTTGCAGTCAATGAAAACGAAACCCATTACTGTCTCAGCAAATTTCAACTTTTGGAACACTAAAACGCATACTTCAGTCTATAGTGTTTATAGAAATTAAGCACCTCGTTTGCAGTCAATGAAAACGAAACCAATTGTTGTCTCAGCAAATTTAAACTTTTGGAACACTAAAACGCATACTTCAGCTTCTTCCCATTTTTGTTTTCTAATTTAGATCATAATTGCATGCAGAAATGGGGAAAGGGTGCTAGCCTGCCAGGGGGTTTGGGTAGAGGAGCTATATGCCCGTCAAACTTAAAACACACCTTTAGTTCCCCCGTCAAATCAGGGGACATAATTCAAAGAGTATAACCACCTACAACAAATATCTGTCCGTTTGCTTTCCCCTTTTGCTGCCCAAAGGCATGTCACCTGAGCAAGCCAGTAATAGAAACAACTTCTGTGTCCCCACAAACCTAAAGCATGTTCGACAAAGCTGAAACTTATGTCAGCCCCTTTAACTTAAATGGTACAGGAAATTTGAACTATAACATCCTTTGCACTCCCAAAGGAAACCAAAGAGAGTAACAAGGAGACACGTCTCTCACTACGGGAGCCCCATGCTTTCCTCGGGAAGGCCATGCAGTCCAGACAAAAATCCACTAGTATGGCCTGTAGCGGGTGGGGCGTCTGAACCTTGGAATCCTTCTGCAAATGAGAAAATTACAGAACACTTTTCAATTTAAATCAATTACCAGAAGTTTGATGTAATCATCAACAAGCAGCAGTTGGATCATGAGAAGGCAAAACATGACCATGGCACAAAAACAAAAGGAAGTAAAAACCACAAAACTATTTACCTATTGTAGCTTTACATAGTGAAGAGCCAAGGAGGTAACGAGAACATGCTAATTTGAAGATTTACTCTTCCAGAATGTTTTTTTTTTTGTGACTTACACATCAAAGGCTACTCGTGTGAGGCTCCTTTTAAAATTTAACACATGAAATGCTGGATCCCACTTGCAAAAAATCTATCAGTTATGCTTTGGAAAAACAGAAATATTCTTCCATCCTTCTGCCCTTCTCCGGTTCAAATTAAACCCACTATACCAATCTAGATATTTTCCTTCATCCTCGTCCAAAAAAGACTTCAAAAGAGCAAAGATCCTAAGGTCCTATCACTGTTACTACCGTTGATCCGTTGACCCCTTCATTTTTACCAAAAAGCCTTCCCATAAGCATCTTTTCCGCTCATCTTCAATATTCAAAATCCTTGTGGTGGGTGGCCCAAATTTTTGCTGCAGTACTGAGCTTCTACAGCAAAGTGGGAGCGTGAATCATTTGTGGGTCACATAAGAAGTTAGAATACAGAAAAGGAGGTGAAGAGATAGGAACCCAAAGAGACAAAAAAAAATTAAAGGCTAGATCAGTAAGAGGATGAGAAGTTCAAAATTTGAAGGTTGATTTTTTATTTGAGTGTGCAATGAAAGGCCTTCTTCTGATAAGTTGGAGCCGTTATGCTTCCTCCCCAAAATTTTTAATACTAAAGGGGCGAGATTACAATTTGGTTGGACTGAGATAAAATATTGGAACTAACAAAGTCGGACCAAGCATTCACTTGTCAAGTTTTACATGAGCCTCACACAAGTAAATTGGCCGGTGACTCAGAAAGTAAAACTTCTCTTACTCTTCATTAAAATCTCGGGAAGTTCCAGCTCTCTGTCCAGGAAGGCATAAAGCATCCAACCAATTTCAGTTCTCTTTGATATTAAAAAGATTAGGACCAGCCTATCAGGAATACTAATAGGATAAATAGAAAATAGGATTCAATTGAACAAATCGATAACCGAATCAATATAAGTTTACATGTGTTTATACATAGCGCAAAACTATAGGTCATATTTAGTCAAATTACCAACAGACCAAATTAACCCTTAAAAAGAACACTAAACACAAAATAACCATTTCAGATCAACAAAATTACGATGACACATGCTCTGGCTTTACACGAAACACAACATCCTACTTCGTTTTAAGGCATTAAAACGATAAAAATGCAGCCAACCAAGTACAACTCATGATTCCATTTTATTTCGAGACAGGGAACTCTGGACTACTGCTCAGGAAGGCAGGGGTGAAGGAAAACAACAGTTTAATACAGACAAACGTGTGTCAAGTAGATTATGTGGATGTGCACACCTCATAAGGCATTCGGAAAAGGTCATATCCAAGTTGGGGGACTTGCCTACACTGAAGTGCAGCTGAAGCAAGATGAAGCGCCTTCCTGAGCTTTTCTAAGCTTCAGGGCTTAAGCGCGCCTTAAATGAGCCTTTGACAACACTGTTGGCCAGTCAAGAAATCCCATGTCCAAGAGATGAAAGTGGCAGAATGAGAATGCTAAGATGGATGTGTGGACATACTAGGAGATACGATTAGAAATGAAGATATTCAGGGCAAAGTGGGAGTGGCCTCCATGGAGAACAAGATGCAGGAATTGAGGTTAAGATGGTTCGGGCATGTGAAGAGGAGGGACACAACTGCCCCAGTAAGGAGATGTGAGAGAGACCTTTGTGGGTATGAGAAGTAGAGGTAGGCCAAAGAAGTGTTGAGTGGAAGTGATTAGGCAGGACATGACGCAGTTTCAGACTACAAAGGACATGACCCTTGATAGGAGGGTGTGGAGGTCGAGGATTAGGGTAGATGGTTAATAGGTAGTTGAGCGTGTTTCTTTTCCATACCGGTAGTATTAGTATTGCTCTTGTATTTCCTTATGCTTAGTTTTCTTTTACTTTGTTTCTGTTTCTTATTCTTATCCCTATTCTTGCTTCTTTCGCTTCGGTTAATCTATTATCGTGTTGTTGTTACTGCTTGCTGTTATTGCCTCTTTTTCATCTTTCCTTGAGCCGAGGGTCTACTGAAAACAGCTTCTCTACCCTCACAAGGTAGGGATAAGATCTGCGTACACTCTACTCTCCCTAGACCCCACTTGTGGCATTACATTGGGTTTGTTGATGTTGTTATTGTATTGACTGGGCGAGATAAATAACAGATGAAGTTGCAACTGACAGGATTACTGGAATTTAAACGAAATTTCAAGAGAAGAAGGAGATAAGCAGAGCATTATCTCCCAATGTTTGCTGGAGTGACAAGGGCTGAGACAGCAATATATGGTCAGGATGGAAACTGCTCTGAGCTCTGTCCCCAGCATCTCTTTGCTCCTGATTCTAGATATTAGACAAAGATGTCTTGACCCAAAAAAGTGGTCGAGCAAAGATCCACTTTGTCTGGGCAAGTATTAATATGACGCCTTTTCTTTTTGGGTTGGAGGAGAGAATGGGAAGTTGTACTTGAAAGAAAGATCAAGATCATAAAATGTGCAACCCATTTGTTAAGATACTTCTAGCTTCTTCCCCAAATACAAAACCACCAACTGTGCCCGTCATGTAAGCCACTTGCATATTCTTACTGTTTTTTTTCCTTGACCTTTTTACATGATTTCGTAGCTCATCTAGCATCTATGGTGGCAAGATATACCATGAACTGCTCATATCTTGATATGCCTCTTTTAGGCCTCCTCTAGATATACCATGAACTGCTCATATCTTGATATGCCTCTTTTAGGCCTCCTCTATCCCCTAAGACAAAACAAAAAGAAAAGAACAGGAAAAAAGAAATTGCCCCATATAACAGTAAAACAGTAGCACTCTTGCACTGGCAAAACTGTCTAAAACAGCAAATAGCCATGTAAATAAAAGTTCAAGCTACGTAACTCAAAACCTCGCTTCTGGGGAAAACGAAAAGTAGGAAGAAAACCCGAGGGTAAGGGAGTTCTCTCAAGCATGATAGTAGAACATAGAAGCGGCTTCAAGTACTAGATGGTAGAACATAGAAGCAGCATCAATAGTTCCATTTGAATGTAAAAGATATCTTTTTTATTTGGGCGCAACAAAATAAATGTGCTACGAGGGATAGCAACATCATTAATTACCCAAAAGGTGGAAATACTGGAGCACCAGGCATGAATGGACGCCGAGGGCGAGATCCTGCATAAGGGTTGAATCGCCTTCCTCGAAATTGCTTCAAACCAGGAACATTTGTCCGCTTAGCAGATACCTACATGACAAAGAATACAGTGGTAGAACATCTAGAAAGTGAAACAGCGAACAAAAAGATTAAGGATTGTTATGGACCTTCAACTGCCGCCCATGAAGCTCTGATTCGTTTAACAGAAGTGCGTTTTGAACAGCCTCAACTTCAACAAATTCGACATAAGCATAGCCTTTCGGCTGGCCAAACTTGTCAGTCAGGATAGTTACCCTGTTCACAGTACCACAAGATTGAAAATGTTGCTGCACTTCCTCAGGTGTGCAAGCGTAATCTACCTGAAGTTGAAATGAAAAAGACGATTCAAATGATAATTCTGCTATAATTTTCACAAGAGACAGGTAAGAGGGGGTTGAGGGGGCGGGGACTTGCCTCCCTTCAGATATCCGGTCTCAAAAGCTTGAGCAATATAGGGAGTATAATGAATATAGCATTACGACTACATCCAAAGACCAACCATGAGGGGCTTCTTAGATGTCTTTAACTAACATGATTAGTGGTACTTTTGTAAGATGTGCAGAGAGCAATATCTTGTTCTTTTGCTTGTTAATGACTTAATGTATGGTTAGCTCTGGTCAATACAGCAAATCAAAATAAGATGCAGCAACTAATCTAGAAAGTGAAACATCAGAACAAGCAACCCAAGGTGTTGACTTATCTTGCCAACACTAGGAATCCAAATGTTGCTTGTAGTAATAGAAAATCTACAGGTTCATCATACAAAGAAAAATCCTTCAAATCACTGATATTTTCCTGGTCTCTCTGAAGAAAATGTCAAATGTATAAACCATGTATGCAATTTCTCAAAGCTTTTGCCAACCTAGATTATAAAAGAAGAGTCATGTTATTCTGCACAAACTTATCCCAAGTATTCATTCTTCTGCACACAACAAATTGAAAGCTCAGGCTACAAAAGCAAAACAGAAAACAAAAGGTAAAAGAACAAATAGAAGAGCAACAACCCAATTTTCATTGTGTGCAACATGAAAAAAAAATATGGAAGTGGAGCAATTAGACAACTGAGACAAAAAATAAGTTTGTTCTAGAAAGCTGAATGATAGAGTTATTGCTTTGTAGGTGAGTTCCTGTTAAAGTTGCATGTTAGCCACACTGTTAAAGAACAACTAATAATGCAACATAGAAGGGAAAAAAGCTATAGGCAACAAAAGAGCAATGAAGTAATCTGCAGTTTCTGTCATTGGCTAAAAATCGAAAGCAAGTCATCAGATAAGGTTGAATTATAAATGAAGTCCTGCCATTGATTAACAAAATATAAGCCTTGCAAGAAGCAGGATGAAGCTATTAGGCGAAATCCGTCAGACAGGAAAAAAAAATTTACATGTTGACCAAGGTAAAGGATATAAATCTCACATTACCGACATATATGGATCGCGCATCCACCTCCTCCTTTTCAGCCTGACTAGCAGAAGCAGTTGGATCTGCACACATGCACAGAAGGACAATTGATGAACAACAAATACCCCGTAAGTTTGACGATTTGTATCTCATTACATCAAATCTAACATTTAGATACATTTTGAACAGAGAAATAACAGAAGATTGATAGGATTTCTCTTGTTTTCTGAGAGGGTAGGGGTTGTATTAAAGGAAAAATTATATACACACACACTCTCTCTCTCTCTCTCCCTCTCTCTCTTCAAAACCGAAAGTCCAAAACCTAGGATAACCTAAACAAGTTCACTGCTCTTCTATGAGGCAGAGAGTCTAGAGACCTTCAGAAGCACCCTAAACTTCCACTCAAGTTTTTAAAGCGAAAAGACAAATGCAACAAGGCTTATGGGGCTTCAAGCAAATGGAAAGAAGCAACACTCACACTTGTTTGAAGTGAAGCGCCCAATTATTGAAACAGAAAAATTATGCAACATATATGAATGAAGTACTAATTCTATCACCCAAGTGTACAATAATGACAATATTAATCCAAAAATTCAAATCAAACATCATTAACATGTAATTTCAACAGGGGCATACAAAAATAACTTCAACTTTATCGATTTTCAATTTGCAAATGATCAACCATAAGAAAAAGAAATAATTGCTCTCTTTCATATTTACTAATATTGTCTTCTTTTGTCTTTTTGTCTTCTTGAGCCGAGGGTCTTTCGGAAACAGCCTCTCTACTCTTTCGGGGTAGGGGTAAGGTCTGCGTACACACTACCCTCCCCAGACCCCACTAGTGGGATTTCACTAGGTTGTTGTTGTTGTTGTTGTCTTTCGTATTTAATTACTCGAATAAATGTACTAAGGGAGTAAATGAGGAGGAAATAAGAAGTTGGGAAGAAAAAGACTCACACCAGTAAGAGAAGACAAAAGATGCATCATTTAAAAAGGAAAAAGAAGAAGAAAGATGTAAATCAAAAGAAGTAGAGAAACAGAAATAGCAGATTTTTCTATTAAATCCATCACAGCAGTAGAACATGTGCAAAACCTCAAGAAGAAGAAAATGATGAAAATGTTAAAAGCGTACTGACATGCTTTTCTTTTTATAGTCAGATTCAAAGAATCAACTACTTCTAGCCGGGATCACTTTTAGATTTTTTTTTAAATCCATCACAGCAGTAGACTATGTGCAAAACCTCAAGAAGAAGAAAATGATGAAAATATTAAAAGCGTAGTGACATGCTTTTTCTTTTTATAGTCAGATTCAAAGAATCGACTACTTCTAGGCGGGATCATTTTGCGCCTCTCTAATTAAAGCACAGTGCTTCAGACATGAGGCGACAAATGTGCTTCCCATTGCACTTAAAGCAACAAAATAATGACTTCAGCTCGCACTTTCTCATATAATCACCATGAAACGAGCTACGAAATAATAAAATTACTCACATTTAAAGCATCCCCATTTCCCCATTTTCCTAATTTTAATGAATAGCTAATGCAAGCCAAATGTGTGCTTATTATCTCCTAAGTTTGATCTAATTAATTTCTTTCCCTTTGCATATATCAAATACTCTATATACCTAATCGGTGCAGCCCAATTTCCCATTTACAATAGACCAGAATCGCACTGTATCTCCAAGAAATCGACGCAATTTAACTAAATTCATGGGCCAAATGATAGTTATTTTTCTTTGCAAGTCAAATGACAAGCTAGTCTGTCCAACAAGAAATTAGCACCTAAAAAATTTCCATACGAGGATGGGCTAGATATACTGAATCATGCTGATTACAGGAAGGATATAGCTAATAGACACAAAAGGGCAAAAAGACCACACAAAAAAAAAAATGAAGCCGGACCAAATGACAAGCTAGTGACAAGAAATTAGCACATAAAAGAATTTCTGAAAGAGGATGCGTTAGATCTAGAAAATGCCAATTACAGGATGGATATAGATAACAGACACAAAAAAGGGAGAAAGGCAAAAAGAAACCAATGCCAATGACAGCAATAAATCAAAGAAAGAAGAACAAACAATCAACCATTTTCACCTTGAAGTGGATTATCTTTTTCTAGATAAATCAGAAATTAAAGGATCCGAGTGCAAAAAAGGAAAAAGAAGAAAAAGAAATGATAGCCCACTCTTAGGCGCTGGAATCGACCACAAAGATCGTTTTGGTTCAAAACAGCGAACTTCTCCAGTCATCTTGCTGCAAGTTATCTTGTCTTCTAGGTGATTGGAAAGAACAAATGAAGGAAGCCAACCTAGACACCAAGGTTTAGCTGTCTAACAAGAACAGCCAACTAAAATAGGGTGACAGAAATGAAGATGTAACGGAAAAATCTTTAAGAAGAAATCAGATTATCCCGGGGGGAATAAGTGGTCAAAGCCATTTAATAATAAAAAGGACACGGGTTTATTTGGCATGAAGGTACTTAAAGTTAAAGTCTATTAATAACATACAAGAAAATTGAAATAAATACTATTTGTGCATGTAGATAACTTTGTCATATAACTAAAACTGTACCTGAAGATAACTATTGGGATTTATGTAACACGATTCGTTCCCCAATATATTACACTAGTTCATTAGTTGAGCCAAGCTCCTCATAACATAACCAATACCGGAGGAATAGAATCATTATTCCAAATTACATTTTTTCCACAATGCAAGAATAACTTGTCCCATCGCTGAAATGCAGGAGGAAATCTCAAAACTAGTTATTGTAAAAATTCCACAGCTATTCTTTTTCCTTTCCGAGGAAGGTAACAGGAAAAAATCCAGAGCTATTACTGCGCTAACTATGTCTCCCTGGTTTGGTATCATGAGGTCTGTTCCCAAACAATAAATATTTCAATATTATTACATGTTTGGCAAAAATATTCATGTACCAGTAATATATTAAGATAATCCCAAGTTTGAGAAGAAAAGAGCGTATCAAAATCATTCTGAAGTCAAACTCTGAAGTTTTAGATCCATTGGACAACCGGTTGTGCAGTAAGAAGCAACTAAAACAAACTTCGGTACAAGAAAGATTTGTAAACCCAATAATAGATACAGCCCGTCAAAACTCAGACTCCTGGAAATCATGTAGAAGAATGTCTAGAAAGACTCTAAACTATGCAACAAAAAGAGAGTCTAAGTTGAAGCTACATGGAATTTGTTCCCAATTAAGAAAGAAGATCAATCATTAATGAGGCAAGTCAATCTTTTCATTTGTTTCCATAAGCAGTTCAAGAGCAACTTTGGGAAAATGATCGAACAGAGGGAAATAAGCTTAGTACATCTTAAACATTGATCAGGAAGATACTTAAGTTAGAACTTAAGTTCCAACCATGTAGAACTTTCTTATGAAGATCCAAGCATATATCACTTGCACTAATGAGAGACCAAGACAAGGCAACCCAAAATGATCCTTCTTCCAGTATTCAGCCAACTGTTAAATCTTTGAAGATGAACAGAATCATGACATTTGGGGTAAGAGAAGCCGCTGTGATACCTAGTCCGTGTTTTCTTTTCCATGTTTTGAGTAATAATATTTCTTTTCTTCTTTTTTTTTTTTTGGTGCTGGCCACATCCTTACCATTACAGAGCTTTCTCCAGATGGAGTCAATGATTTGCCTCTCTTAAATAGTTAATCAAAAGCTGGGAAAGCCTTGAGGTTTGGGATAAAAAGGACTTCGATGCCATAATGAGCTTCAAAATTGTGGCAATCACATTATCAGGACCAAAAAGCTTTTGTCCTTGATTAATGGGTCTTCAACAATTAGTAATAAGAACTCTATTACATTCTGAAAATACAATAAGAAAACAAAAATATGACCAGTTACTCTAATCTTAAGCTTTAAGAGTAGAAAAACGAACAACACAAGGAAGTACAAGACTGGGAAGTGGCAGCACATAAATCAAATCCCCTCATTCTAGGATTTTGTCCACTCAGCAACCATCTAGTCCCACCTTTAAGTGAAGAAAGGAAAAAAACCCTCACAACCACTACTTTAGCTTGTTGCTGCATCTGAATACCATGTAATTATCTTTTTCCTACAACAAGCACTACCTTCGTAATATTCATCTTCCTCCTCGAGAGGACATCCCAACAACTCTTGAGGAAATAATGACATACATTAGACAGAGGTAAAAGGTATTAAAGGTTTAGTTGGATTCTTATTTAAATTTGTTTCTTTTTTTTCTCTTAGTTTTTGGTTAAATCGGATTCTTATCTAAGTATAATCGATATTTTAAAGTGAGTGGATTGATTCATGTCCTAAGGCCCATTAACAAAATTGAAGCAATAACCATTGCTTGACTAAACAAAGCAAGAACTAACTTTAGCGAATCCATAAAGTTAATTGCAACCAAGAGTTGCCTACCCACAATTGCAGCAGAGAGATACAATCCCAATCCTTTTGTAGCATTACTTTGTTTTCATTTGCTAATAACTGGCTCGCATACTCAAACAATCTTCTCCAACAAAAATGGAATGTGTAATAATTCAGCAACTAACAACTCTTTAAAACCTAAACCAAATGAATTGAGACGTCAAAACTTTGTTTGAAGAAGATTGAGAGGTCAAAAACTACCATACAATTTTGACAAGTTTTTGAGCCTTTGAATTAATATATTTTTTTTTATTTGCACCGGGTGTCCGAGTCTCTAAGAGCCCCGACTAATCCCGGGGGTGCACAGGCCCTCGGCAAGGAGTTTCCCGCAAGTGCACCACGGTTAATTCAGGTTTTACCCACTCCGATGGCCCTCAGAAATTGTTTGCACCCAGTGGGTTTCGAACTTGAGACCTTGAAAGGGAGCAAACCCCAAGGCTCAAGTCTATTGCCACCAGGCCAACCCCTGAGGGTTGCCTTTGAATTAATATATAAAACCTTCCAAGTGTAGTGTGTCCACGAATAAACTACACTAATTGCAACCAAAAGTTCCCTACCTACAATTGCAGCAGAGAGATACAATCCAATCATTTAGTAGCACTAGTTTGTTTTCATTTACCATAACTGGCTTGCATACTCAAACAATCTTCTCCAACAATGGAAAGTGTAATAACTCTGCAAATAACAACTTTTTAAAACCTAAACCAAATGAATTGAGACGTCAAAAACTTCGTTTGAAGAAGATTGAGAGGTCAAAAACTACAATACAATTTTGACAAGTTTTTGAGCCTTTCAATTAATATATAAAACCTTTCAAGTGTAGTGTATCCACGAATAAACTACATAAATCATGAAACTTAATTTTCTTTCTTACAGCAACCTAGCTTAAGCACAACATATGTAAGGAGACAGTGCTTGATTAAAATTAACGAAGTTGTCTAACCATCAGAAAAGAAAATCAGACTGTATTAACTGATACTTGTCAAAAGTCAAGCTAGGGTTTCTTACCGCCAAATCTTGAAGTCTGAATTTTGTGGCTTTATTTGATAATATTTCTTAGAGCTTTCTGAACTGCTTAATCAATCAGATAAGTTTTGTACTTTTTTTCAAGCATATTGACGGTTGAATATTTGAAACCATATAAAATTCATCACTAGCATCTGAAGGAGGTCATAAGCAGCTGGAGAAGTCAAATGACTAGGAAACAACTAATGACATTGTGAACACTGTTCCATTATGCATAATGTGGACAATTTGGAAGGAAAGCAACTCAGGATGTTTTGAAGGGAAGGCAATTGCAACTCATTGTGTAAAATATAGATGCTTAAAATTGTTGGCATTTTGGTGTAACTTAAAAAATGTAAATCATCTTGATACTCTTTTGGACTTTATAGACTGCTTATAGTAGGAAGGAAAAGGTTGATCGCAGTGTACTTGTACAGTTTCCAGCACGCACTTGGTGCTATTCCGTGAATAAATACTTACCTTTCATCCAAAGAAATCATATATTATTATTAAGTTCTCCTGAACAGAATTCAGATTACGAAATTAAACCATCTAAAGCTAATATACTAATAAGTATAACTCAAACTTGTTATGTTTATCCTTCATAAGTGATGAATACAAAGTATTCTTCCAAGCTTGAATTTACTTCAGCTCATTTATATTTTTAATGACTGATAATTAGCCTGATAAAAACCGATATTCAATTGATGAAATGCTTACATTGCACTAGAAGCACAAACTGTTAGTGATAAAGCAAATTGATTTTGCATCTCATTTATCTGATAAGGTAGAAAATTTAAATTTCATCTCATAAACTGGCATCTTCTACTAGGCAAGTGTTAACCCATTACTATAACTTGCCCTCTCCCCCTTCCCTAAAAAAAGGGCACATGAAAGAGAGTCAACCCCATGATCTTCTCTGATTCAGGTTGCTAGTATCAAGATTATTAAATTAATAAGAAACAAAGGAAAACGAAGTTCAAAAATTTATGAGCATATTCATTTTATTCATTATAATGCATACTCAGACAATACTTATGATTCTACTGTGACTTGGTTCAACTGAACTATGTTTTGGGTAACTGTGAACTGATACCAATTAGTACCTTAATAACATATTTCAGAGGGACTACAGTCAAAGGCAGCAGCCTACCAAAAATGATGTACCCAAAGTCAAAATAACTATGAACAGAGCATAAGGTGAAAACCACGGATGGAGCTTTCATCCCAAACTTTGAAACTTACATCTCAACGATAGACCAGTGCACTTGGCTCAAATTTTCTTCTATCTTTCGCTTTTTTTAGAAGATGCTTTCTTTCACGTTTTCTTTCATCTTTGAGCCTACTGCCACAAGGTAGGGGTAATGTCTGCGTACACACTATCCTCCCTAGGCTCCACTTGTGGAATACACTGGGTATGTTGTTGCTATTGTACCGTTTCCCCTTTCCAAGATCTGTTATGAGTGCCAACTTAAAGGAAATTTTTTATTCTGAATTTGAGAAGATTTTTTGGGTCAGAAATCAAGATGATTTTTTCTATCAAACCTAACAATACGTCCAAACAGTCAGCAACTGTGAGAATGGAAACTAACTTGCCTAGTATAAAACTCTTGCAAGTAACGTAAGGAAACAGTAATGATGAATAATCCAATAAATTTCGCCAGTATGCTCAGCTTAGTCAACTAGAGCAAAAAAAAAAAAAAAAGCAATGCAAAGTTAGACTGTACGAGCATCAGCAATACATGCTATGCTAAAACCACATACATAGTCCACTGCAAATACTCCTAACAACCTTCAAGCTTCTACCTCTTGCAAACGGAATTTTTCATTAGAAGGATATTTTTTCATGAGAAAATTCACTCTTTCTCCATCACCGCCATAAGACCTTAAAGAGTATAAGCCACTATATTGTTTTCCTTTCTTTTTTATTTTATTTCATAACAAGAGTATAAGCCACTACTTACAGGGACAAAAAAGTCTGAACTTTAAAGAAAAGGAAAATATAAAAGACACCAGAGATTATAGATTTGATCCACACATCACAGGCCTGGCGCTGCGAAGACCAATGGATGACTCTAATATAAGTTCCGATTGAAACTTTCAGAGGTATCAATACTGCACAGTATTCCAAAAGAACAGAGAGGCACTGCCAAATTTACAGAGTTGTATATTCAGATGAGTAAAACCTTGTGCAGAGCCCATCTCTTTCTCGACCTTGGCCTGCATTTCACGAAGAGCGCCTGCTTCATCCTCTATCTCCTTCAATCTCTTCTTCATATTTTCTAATTCCTATAGGATAAAAAATCACGGTTATTACACACACCTTAAATACCAGCAAAACGGGGGAAAAAAAACAAATTCAAAAATGATGAAGTAATGCTAACAACCTTAGCATTAGGGTCATCCTCAGATTCAGCGGCGGCAGATGTTTCATCATACTCGGCATCCATCTCTCCTCCTTCATCGGGTATATCTCCTCCGTAAACCTCGTGCTCGTGCTCCTCGTATTCGTTCTCCTGGTGCTCCATCTCCTCTCTTTTAAGTGTATATAACGCAGCGTTTAATTCTGTTGAATGCGGGCGGCACGGCACAGCACGGCGCGGCGGAGGAGTGATTTGCTGCGATTGATTTTCTAGGTTTTCAAATACGGGGATTGGGGAAAGGAGGAAATAGGGAATTTGGGGGGAATAAGTCGGTCGATGATCGACGGAGAGGATGATAAGTTGAAGTTAACTGTCGTTTTATACTCATTTACTACTAGATATATGGTTGTGTGGATTTCGGGTAGGTGTCAGTGACAAGTGACAACTTATTATGGGGCAACAAGGAAAATTGCTCATTTGGGAAAAGACATCGGAAACCGGAGATAGTAAACCAATTTGGGTCAGTTGGTTCACGATCTACTCTGGTAAGTACTAGTACTAGTACTAAAAAACGTACAGAAAAATTGATAATACTTGATCTGAATATTTTTTTTTTTGGTTAATAGGATAATGTTTTCATTAATAAGGCATTACAGCAGGATCACTGGGAACATTAAGTACACAATGATTACCCATTTTTGCTAATATATTTCACACAATTTAGAAACACATCTAGTAAACACAAAGTTATTCCGAATCGCAGGACTTCCCAACTTCCTCGACAAGAACCTGCAATCAGAAATAATTTTGTTATAAGTAAATGTTATTAATATCAAGCAAATGTAAAAAAAAAAAAAAAAAAAAAAACCTCTCTGGGTTTTCTCTCTCAGGTGTACGCTAGGGTGTTCTATTGCGCCGGTACCGGAAAATGCTTAGGGGAAGGCCGAAAAGGAATGGCAAAAAAGCTCTGATGATGGACATGATATGGATACGGGCGAAAGGCAACTGTCCGGTGGAAGGGGCAACTGCTGTAACGCCAAATCGCAGCTGAGAGGTTTCAACTGTAAATCCAAAATCTGCACAACTGGCCTCAATTGCAGGGAGTTCTATAGTAACTCCCAAATCAACACATGTTATTGGCACAGAAGGGCTGGAAAAATGAAGGAGGTTACTCCATGTAAGAATAGCCACAGTGGTGCTAAGGAGGGAGAGAAAGGTGTAGATCAACCTAAAGGAATGCAGTAGCACAACGGAAAATTGATTTGCAACCACAACAGGAAGGGAAAACCTGGGCGAATTTGTTCAATGGCAATATATTAGCAGCCCGAGGTATGAAATTGACATATGTTCCGCCAATCATATAGGAAGTGGAACAAGTAGTTCAATTGGAAGAAGATGAATTTGCAGAAGAAACCGCGAAGTGGAATCAAGCTCCAATACTATATGTTGTGGGAGAATCACCATCAATTGGAGCGGTAGAACGATTTATTTCAACGAATTGGAACTTCGCGGCTAAACCTAAGGTATACTATCACAATGATGACTACTTCGTTATTAGATTTACTAGTGTGGTGGACAGGGACGAGGTGTTGTACTTGGGACCTTACATGATCAACTATACGCCTATAATTGTTAAGACATGGGCAGCTGATTTTAATTTGAATGATGAAGTGCTACGCATTTTACCTATATGGGTACAATTGCCAAACATGCCGCTTAATTGTTGGGTAATGAAGACCCTCAGTAGAATTGGGCGTGGATATGCAGATGAATGCACTTCAGCTGTTGAGCGCATATCATATGCCAGGATTCTTGTTGAAATGGATGTTACGAAGGAGCTATCATCAACCAACAGAGTTCAGGATCCAACTAGTAAATTCTTCACACAAGTGGTAGAATATGACTGGAAACCATTATATCGCCACACATGTTTACAAGTTGGGCATCAATGTCAAACGGAGCAACATCAATCCAATGGTGGACAGAAGCAAGGCCAGATGAATCATCAACTAAAACAGAGGGAACAAGAGAAAATGCAATCTAGACTACAGCTAAAGGACAACCAACAGAAACCAAAAATAACACACAAGGAGATTCGGCGCAATGTAGTTATGTGAAGGTTGATAGCCTTCAAGATTTCCCTAATCTGATATGAAGATTGTAGCTTGGAATGTTAGGGGCATAAATAAAGTTTACAAGCAGAAGGAGTTAAAGGTGTTTGTGAAGGAGAATAGAGTAGGGTTGCTAGTGGTAACTGAACATAGAGTTGTCCAACCAGCTGCTGCCGCAATAATAAAGAATAGCTGGAGGATGGAAATAGTGCAAAAATTATCAGGCCAATGAAAAGGAGCGAATTTGGGTACTATGGGATCCAACTCAATGTGATTTTCAGTTATTAGCATATAGTACTCAATGGATGCATGGAATAGTCAAGCTAGCAAACATTGAACTCAACTTTACTAGAGTCTATGGTTACACATTATACAAGTTAGGAAACTATTGTGGCATGAATTAAATGGGCTGGCTGCTTTTCAAAAAGGTCTGTCGTTATTAACGGGGGACTTCAATGCTATTAGGAACATAGATGATAGAATAAATGGTAGCCACGTACAAGAAGCAGAAGTGAGTGACTTCAATGACTTTATATAGGATGCTGCGATGGCTGAACTCAAAACCGTGGGTAGAGAGTTTACTTGGACCAACAATCATGTGTACAGCTATATTGATAGAAAATTAAGGAACTCAGAGTGGATGCAACAATAGTCTCTCCTTGAAGCAATACTATTAGACCCCCCTTTCTCTGATCATACTCCCATATGTGTAAATTTTGGGGGAAGGCAAACTAAGAAGATCAAACCCTTCAGATTTTTCAACTACTTGGCGGATCACCAGGACTTCATGAGAATTGTAAAAGAAAGCTGCAGAGGCACAAGTGAAGGAAGTGGAATGCAACAAGTATGGAGACGATTACAAGCCGTGAAAGGGGAACTAAAACGTTTATCTACAACTAAATACAGCAGGGTTGCAGATAAAATTAGAACAACGATACAGCAACTTAGTGACTTACAAGGGCAGATGAGAACATGTAATCAACATAGTAGTTTGTTTGAATAAGAGAAAGGCCCGAAGATGCAGCTAGAGAAATGGTCTTTGGTGGAAGAAAGCATCACTAGACAAAAACCAAAAGTCCAATAGCTGCGACTAGGGGACTCAAACACTAAGTTTTTCTTTGCTTGTATGATGAACAGAGAAGCTCACGATCATATCAGAAGCTTGGTAGATGAACATGGAAGGATACTTGTGACGACCCGGCCAGTCGTCTCATGAGTTACCGCTCCATTTCCCCCATTTCTACTTCTTTATATTTTTTTTATCCGTGTTTTTTGGTATCGGGTTGGTCGGATTGAATCCGGATTGATTTTGGTGAAGTTTGAGACACTTAGTCTCTTTTAAGAAGGCTTAAGTTGGAAAAGTCAACCGGATATTGACTTATGTGTTAGAGGGCTTGGATGTGAGTTTCGATGGTTCGGTTAGCTTCAGGAGGTGATTTGAGACTTAGGAGTGTGATCAGAATAGGTTTTGGAGGTTCGGAGAAGATTTAGGCTTGAATTGGCGAAGTTGATATTTTGGCGATTTCCGGTTGGTAGGCGAGATTTTGATATAGGGGTCGGAATGGAATTCTGAGAGTTGCAGTAGCTGCGTTGTGTCATTTGGGATGTGTGTGCAAAACTTCAGGTTATTCGGACGTGGTTTGGTTGGGTTTTTGATCAAAAGAGGAATTCGGAAGTTTTTAGAAACCTAGGCTTGAATCCGATGTGTTTTAGTTGATTTGATGTTGTTTGAGGTGTTTTGAAGATTGGAACAGGTTTGAATGAGGTTTTGGGGTATGTTGGTGCCTTTGGTTGAGGTCCCGTGGGCCTCGGGTGAGTTTCAGAGGGTTGAACGGATCATTTGAAGTTGAAGAAAGTTGCAGATTTTGGCCTTCAGCAGTTGCAGGTATTTTTCTCTTCGCGTTCGCGGGTGGAACCTCGCGTTCGCGAAGAGTCAGTTGAGGAAGGAAAAGATTAAGCCTTCGCGTTCGCGATGGGAGCTTCATTCGCGAAGGGCTAAGGATTGAGGCATCGCGTTCGCAGGATAGGTGTCGCGTTCGCATAGAAGGAATTGAGAGTGCTGAGCTTCAGTGGAATTAACTCATCGCGTTCGCGATTGATGGAGCGCGTTCGCGAAGGTTCACCTGGGCTAAGCATCGCGTTCGTGAGGGTTAGATCGTGATCGCGTAAGAGGAAATTTGGTCAAAGTTGAATTGTGCTTCGCGAACGCGAGGCTTTGACCGCGTTCGCGAAGAAAGATTTTTAGGCCTGGGCAGAAAGTTTAAAAGATCGTCTTGTCCGCGAATGTGGGGTTTATTTCCTCCATAGTAGGTCGTTTTTGGAGCTTTTTAAAGGAGATTAAAGAGGGATTCAAGGGGAATCACCTGGAGGTAAGATTATTGGTCTTAAAACTCGATTATTATGTGAATTCCACCTAGTAAATCATGGAAATTAAGCCAAAAATTGAAGAACTAGGGCTTGGAAATTTAGACCTTTGATTGAGGATTTGATGGACCATTTGAGGTCGGACTTCTGAACTTTTGATATGTATGAACTCGTAGGGAGATAAGGAATCTATTGGTGTAAAAATTATTGAATTCTGAGATGTGGGCCCGGGGGTCGGGTTTTGGTAATTTCAGGATTTGTGTCAATTATTGATTGTTTTCGCTTGGGCTTCGTTCCCTTAGCATATTTTGACGTCCTCGTTCTGATTTTTGGATAGATTTGACGCGCGTGGAGGCCGATTCAAGGGGCAAAGGCGTTGCGAGCTAGAGATTTGACCGGTTCGAGGTGATTAATGATTGTAAATGATGTTCTGAGGGTTTGAAACCCTGGATTGCACATCGTAGTGCTATATTGAGGTGAGGCACACGCTTGATGACGAGCGTGGGGTCGTACACTATTGGGGATTGTGACTTGGTCCGTCCCGATTGATGATTTTACTGCATATTTAACTGAAATCTAATTGCTATCATCATTATTTCGGCTGAATGCCATATTTGGGCTTCATGCCAACTATTTGAACCCTTCGGGGATTTTTATTGATATTTCCTCACTGTTTTGACTTTATACTTGAACTCAGTCATGTTATTTTCCACCGTTTTTCTACTCAGCCATGTTTACTCCGTTTTAATACTTAAATGATATTTTAAATGATGTTTGGGCTGAGAAACACTGTTTATTGCCCGAGAGACTTGTGAGGATTTTTGACTGAGGAAGGCTGAGGGCCTATGTTGTGAGGAAACACTGATATTGATTTGAGGCCGAGGGCCTGAGATATGTACGCCACGAGGTGGATTGATTGATATGAGGCCGAGGGCCTAGTGATGACGCCACAAGGTGGCTTGATATTGCGCTTGGGCCGTAAGGGGCTCCTCCAGGAGTCTGCACACCCCCAGTGAGCGCGGGTGCCCAGTATGATGT